CTTCTGGCCCGTTAGCCAGACTTGGCCCGTTCACTGGCCCGTTTCTCTAGCATAAAGTTGGCCCGTTTTCACCAGGTATATCGAAGAAGGCCCGTCGGCCCGTTGGCGACGAGTATCAGGGCTGGGACAAGATGAAGAGGACCGGAATACCGGTCCCGTTGCCAGACCGTCCCTTCATCAGCGCCTTGTCGGACCGACGGGTGACGGTCTCGTGGAACCCGTACATCGCTCAGGGACCTCAGCCGCCCGTTACGTACCAAGTGGAAATGTGCGAGAGTCCCGAGGGCGACTGGTTCACGGCCCGTTCTGGTGAGTGACCCGTTAAATGACCCGGTGAGTGGCCCGTTAAATGGCCCGTTCTGGTGAGTGGCCCGTTAAATGGCCCGATGAGTGGCCCGTTAAATGGCCCGGTGAGTGGCCCGTTCTGGGCAGTGGCCCGTTAAATGGCCCGTTAGATGCCCCGTTCAATGGAGTGGCCCGTTAAATGGCCCGGTGAGTGACCCGTTAAATGGACGGGTGAGTGGCCCGTTAGATGGCCCGGTGAGTGACCCGTTAAATGGACGGGTGAGTGGCCCGTTAGATGGCCCGTTCTGGAGAATGGCCCGTTAAGTAGCCGGGTTAGTGGCCCGTTAGATGGCCCGTTCAAGAGAGTGGCCCATTAAATGGCCGGGTTAGTGGCCCGTTAGATGCCCTGTTTTGGTGAGTGGCCCGTTAAATGGCCCATTAGATGGCCCGTTCTGGGCAGTAGCCCGTTAAATTGCTTGTAGATTGACGCGTTAAATTATTAGTCGTTATTTGATATATTAAACAACGTTCAAATTTGAACATTATTTGATATATTAAACAACGTTCAAATATCAACGTTATTTGGTATATTAAACAACGTTCAAATATCAACGTTATTTGATACATTAAACAACGTTCAAATATCAACGTTATTTGATACATTAAACAACTTTCAAATATCAACGTTATTTGATGCATTAAACAACGTTCATATATCAACGTTATTTGATACATTAAACAACGTTCAAATATCAACGTTATTTGGTATATTAAACAACGTTTACATATCTACGTTATTTCAACATTTGATGCTTGATGGGTGTCTTATTGAATCTTGTATATAATTTTTTGTCGTTTACATTATTTATTATATTATATATATTTTATATTATTCAACCCCCAAATTCCTTCAGTGATCAGACTGAATAATGACCCACCTAATGACCCACCTAATGACCCACCTAATGACCCACTAATGACCCACCTAATGACCCACCTAATGACCCTAATGACCCACCTAATGACCCATCTAATGACCCACCTAACGACCCACCTAATGACCCACCTAATGACCCACCTAATGACTCACCTAATGACCTGTCTCTTATACACATCTAGATGTGTATAAGAGACAGNTCCCAGAAGTCGTCGCAAATACTAAGAAACTCGTAATTTTACTATGTCTTAATCTGGTCCTGTCATTCTTTTATTCAATTTTATCATTTGTATATCACACTGATGATAGAACATTCATCATCCCTATATCTCCAACAATGTAGTGAACAATATTTTATATGCAACAATTCACTGACATTTTCTATCTCATTTGTAAAATTATGATTTGTTTTGAGCCTATTAATATGATGGTGCTAGTTCAAAGTCAAAACTCCACATTCAATGCAACGTAAATATTAAAAAAATGCATTTACATATTCCTGCATTTACTGAAACTTAATCCCAAGTTGTACCCGCAGGTGCAGGGTTGCATTCACATGCAAGTGCCGTACGTGGTGAGTGAACAGTCCCCCGCGGTGCTGGGCCGCACGGTCAAAGAGATCGAGACGTACGAGGCCGTGGCCGTGGTCTCGAAATTCAAGTTCAGCATGATTGTGCCAGAGATGGAACAGCATCTCGAGACCTGTCTCTTATACACATCTCCCCAATATTCTCTCAGTACCGTCTTGGACTAAGATGGCAGTGCAGTGAACAAGTGTGGCTGCTGCTGGCCGCTTCTCACAGAACTGCGTCTGTCTCTTATACACATCTAGATGTGTATAAGAGACAGCCCTTACACCTTCCCCATTCCTCCCCAGGAGCAAGCTGGAGATCCTGCCCGTGTCGCAGCTGCCGTCCCTCCCCGCTGGGGAGGAGCGTGGGGACGGTCCCCTCGTCCCCAGCGGCTTCACCATTGATAGGGACGCCCGGGGGAACTACTTCGCTCCCCCAAGGTGGGGATTGGGGAGTGGGGGAACTACTTCGCTCTCCCAGGTTTCTTCGCCTCCTCTTGGACACTCAATACCTGGGTGAACGAAAGCCATTTCTGGGGGAACTTATTTATAAATAATGCTAAGTTTGGGGAATATTAACCATATCCTGGGGAAGACATCCCGTAGCAAGCTCCCCAACTCCCCCAGGTTCCTTGGCCTCCCCTCGGACACCCAGTACTTGGGTGAACGAAGGCCATTCTGGGTGAATCTATTTAAACTAATGATGAAGTTTGGGGAATATTAACCATATTCTGGGAAAGACATCCCAATAACACACTCCCCCCACTCCCCCAGGTTCCTGCGCCTCCCCTCGGACACCCAGTACGGGCAACGTAACTTCAGTGGGAGCCTGAAGTGGTACGCGTTCGGGTACCCAACACCCAAGATCAGCTTCACTTTATATACTGTGGTTGAATGAGAGTTAATAGCACGGAGCCACAACATCTTAACTGTTAGACCACAAGCTGTCGCTATTGGAGGCTTGAGTTCAAACGAGGCAAAGGTGAAGAGTGGCGTACCATAGGTAACTGTACTCGGCCCTGACCTCAACATAGATATGGAAGTGAGCCACGCTTCGACATTGTCATTTGTCGGCGACACCAGCGTGCTGAAGGCAAGTGCAGACAGGACAGACTGCGAGAGGTTACAAGAAGACCTCTCTGCAATACTTGACTGTACACAAGTGAACAAGTTGTAAATCAACGAAGCCAAGTTTGAGGTTCTGAGATAAAGAGGGAGTTGGAAAGAAGGAGTGTAGCACCGCTACTTAGTACCTGACGTGACGGCATGGAAATTGAAGAGGAGCAACTCGTTCGCGATCTAGGAGTGTTGATGAACACTCAGGTCAAGTTTGGTGATCACATAGCGGTAAAAATCGTAAGAGGTAGGCGACAGGTGGGGTGGATCTGAGGGACTTTTAGAACAAGAAAGTGAACCGACGATCACACACTTCAGAGCCCTTGTGGCCTCACTTCTTAAGTACTGCTGCTAGCTTTTGACCCCGGTCAAGGTGGGCTCCAGACGACATTTGGAAGTGGTCATGCGAACCTTCAATTCCAGGACCAGCGGGATAGAGTAGCTGGACTACTGGGCTGCTATGTCCGAAACACATACCAAGAATATTTAGTAGTGTAGGGTGAGTGTGTTGTGGCTAGCATGAGTGTGGGGTAAAGCAGTCACACCTAACACCCATCCATACCCATTTTAACCCACTCGCTCCCCGCAGTCGTTCTTGGAGATTCGCCCATGTCGGGGGGCGGACGCTGGAGAGTACCGCTGCGTGCTGGAGGGTGAAGGGGGCGCCACGGCGTCCACTTCGTGCATCGTCACCGTCCGCAAGTGCTTCGAGGCACCGTCTTTCGCCCAGGGCTTCAACGCCGCCCAACAGGTGCGTAGCGCCGCCCAACAGGCGCGTAGCGCCGCCCAACAGGTGCGTAGCGCCGCCCAACAGGTGCGTAGCGCCGCCCAACAGGTGCGTAGCGCCGCCCAACAGGTGCTTAGCGCCGCCCAACAGGTGCGTAGCTCCGTCCAACAGGTGCGCATTGCTGCTACAGGAAAAAGTGAATCTCAAGATTAGAGCAGTGAGTTGCGGGCCTGAAACCCCAACGAGTTGTAAAATTTTTGCGACGTATAGCTTGAATCAGGCTTAATACGAATGAGTTGGAATGATGTTATCGCTGTTATTTTAAAGTTAAAGTTATTTTAAATGAAATTATCGCTGTTATTTTAAAGTTAAAGTTATTTTAAATGAAGTTATCGCTGTTATTTTAAAGTTAAAGTTATTTTAAATGAAATTATCGCTGTTATTTTAAAGTTAAAGTTATTTTAAATGAAGTTATGGCTGTGATTGGCTGGTAACCGTCGTGTCGTCTGTCAATCAGCTGCCGGGATTGGACATTCGGTTGACGGTGCGGGCAGATGGCGTCCCGCGTCCCGAGCTCAGCTGGTTCAAGGACGGCAAGCCAATCGATTTCTCCGTGAGTGGCTTGCCAATCATCTGAAATAATTACTGGATAAATTATCAATTCATTAATAATAATAATTAATAATAATTAATAATATTAATTAATTAATTAATTTATATTAATTAATACTAATTATTCATTTAATAATTAATTAATTACCTAAACCAATCACTGCATAATATCATTCAATCATCGTTCCTTACAGTAATAAATAAATAAATTCTTCATACAACATTCAATCATCAAAAATAATCATCCAATTATTAATTATCGCAAACGTCAACATTTATTTCAACCATGAATCTATAATAAATACTTAAAAATTAATGTACTCTCAGCTTTGGTAATTAAAAAAAATATATTTTTAACCAAATTCTAATGCCTTGTACTAATCATTGGATTTAAATAATTGGAATAAAAATAGCTATAAATTTTATTAGTTTGGATGATTCTAATCTTTTTAATGCATTTAACTGATTAATATGAATTAGAATGAGCGCTAAAACTAGTTATAATAAAATAAACATCTATTTTGATAAAGTATTTAATTAGAGCGAGCGCTACAAGCTGCGGCAGCGATTATTTTGATTTATTTAATCCCTTTAAATAGAATAAAATATCTGAACAATAAACCTTGAATTGTTATTTAAATTACGTAATTAAAATTACTCAAGATGACAGCAACAACCTGCGCCTTTACAACATTTATTATATAAATAGAATAAAATATTTGAATAATTAACCTTAATTTCTTATATAAATCAACAAAAACAACTCAGGACGAGCGGTTCAAGGTGCGCAAGGACGGCGCCGCCACGACGCTGCTGCTGCGGGGCTGTGGCTACGGGGACTCGGGCATCTACCGCTGCGTCGCCAGCAACTCAGAGGGCGCCGCCCAGCACGAGGGCGCTGTAGAGGTCGCCGACCAAATGTTAGTGTCCAGGGCCTATACTTTCAAAAAAAGTAAATTAGATGGTTGGTTAGCTACCATAACAAAAGGTAAGACGTAAATTAGATGGTTGGTTAGCTACCATAACAAAATTTAGATGCGGGCGCGACTCTGCATCAGGTGCCGCCCAGCACGAGGGCGCGGTCGAGGTCGCCGACCAAATGTTAGTGTGAATATGTTTATTCCTGGGACTTATTTTCATACTTAGTTATTGTGGTGTTAAACTCTGAACATGAATTTATGGTTTAACTCTAATTTATGGCCTAACCCTACTTTATGGTGCTATAGTTTGTGGTTTAAATATAATTTATGGTTTAACTATATGTTATGGTTAAACTCCAATTTATGATGCTATAATTTATGGTTTAACTATAAGTTATGGTTTAACCCTAATTTATGATTTAATCCTAATATATAGTTTAACCGTAATTTATGGTTTAACTCTAATTTATGGTTTAACCCTAATATATGGTTTAACTTTAATTTATGGTTTAAATATAATTTATGGTTTAACCCTAATATATGGTTTAACTTTAATTTATGGTTTAAATATAATTTATGGTTTAAATATAATTTATGGTTTAACTCTAATTTATGGTTTAACTATAATTCATGGTTCATCCATAATTTATGGTTTAACTTTAATTTATGCTTTAACTTTAATACATGGTTTAACCCTATATTATGTTTAACTCTAATTTATGGTTTACCCATAATTTATGGTTTAACTTTAATTTATAACCCTAAACTTACTCTTTCCTACTTATTATTCCCTCCCTAATATATGTTCACTCTTTGTGTGAAGAATTTCTAGTAAGATCCTTTAGGCTCATACAGGAAAGTATAAGAAGACGCGGATGTTGAGGCGCTTATTAACCNTCAAGGCCGTCGTGGCGGGCCGTCCTCTGCCCGACTTCCAGTGGCTCAAGAACGGGCAGCCCGTCGTTGAAAGGTGAGCCCGTAGCCCGTTAGCCCGTTAATCGGTCCGTTATTACTTGCAATAACAAGTAATAACGGGCCGTCCGTTATTACTTGTGGGCCGTCGTAGCGGGCCGTCCTCTGCCAGACTTCCAGTGGCTCAAGAACGTCCAGCCCGTCGTCGAGAGGTGAGCCCGTGGCCCGTTGGCCCGTTAATTGGTCCATCATTACTTGTTAATGTTTAATTGAGCGAGTGATAAGCGAGAGTTCGCATAGATTCGTAGGAGCATTGATTGAACATGAACATGGAACGCCCGCCATCATGCAGCTCTAGGGTGATTGATTTACATGAATTACATGCCTATCAAAATTTTTAGCTTTTTGATAGGGATGTTCCATTACCCCCTTTACCCCATTACTATCACCCCATTACCTCATTACCCCCATTACCCCACTACCCCATTAACCCATTACCCCATTACCTAACAAGCCTCATAGCGTACCAATATGGTATCTCCCCCATTACCCCATTACCATTACCATTACCCCCCTTACCCTATTTCCCCATTACCCCATTATCCCATTACCATTACCTAACAAGCCTCATGGCGTACCAATATGGCATTTTCCCCCCATTACCCCATTACCATTACCCAATTACCATTACTCAATTACCATTACCACATTACCTCATTACCATTACCCCATTACCCCATTACCATTGCCCATTACCCGGCAGTAACCGCGTGGTGTCTGAGCGTGACGTAGACGGTATCCTGCGTCTGACCATCCGTCACGTGCGGGAGGAGGACGCGGGGTCCTACACTCTTAACCCATTATCCCATTCCCCAACAAGCCTCATGGCGTACCAATATGATATTTTCCCCCTATTACCCCATTACCCCATTACCATTGCCCATTACGTTGCAGCAACCGCGTGGTGTCTGAGCGTGACGTAGACGGTATCCTGCGCCTAACCATCCGGCACGTGCGGGAGGAGGACGCGGGGTCCTACACTCTGAAGGTCTGGAACGACTACGGCCAGGCCGCCTCCATGGGCAAGCTCGTCTGTGAATGTGAGATATACTTTATAATGCTTTATATTAATTTCTAATACTTTCTGATGCTTTCTAGTACTTTCTAATACTTGCTGCTACTTTCTTATTTACTCTACGTATATTACTCTATAGACTAAGTTTATTACTTAGATTTATATTAAGGGATTTATTACATTTCTAATTTGCTTCTGATTATATTATAATTTATAATTACAGTGAGTGATATAAATACATATAATATAATATTATTAGGTCTTACGAAAGTGCCTACAGCATTATTAAAGTATTCTTAGGTCTTATGAAGGTGCTTGTAAGTTTTATAAACGCATTCATAAGTCTTGTGAAAGTGCTTGTATAAACGTATTATAAACGTATTCTTTGGTCTTGTGGCCCGTTGGCCGGACTTGGCCCGTTCACTGGCCCGTTTCCCCAGCATAAAGTCGGCCCGTTTTCACCAGGTATATCGAAGAAGGCCCGTCGGCCCGTTGGCGACGAGTATCAGGGCTGGGATAAGATGAAGCGGACCGGAATACCGGTCCCGTTACCAGACCGTCCCTTCATCAGCGCCTTGTCGGACCGACGGGTGACGGTCTCGTGGAACCCGTACATCGCTCAGGGACCTCAGCCGCCCGTTACGTACCAAGTGGAAATGTGCGAGAGTCCCGAGGGCGACTGGTTCACGGCCCGTTCTGGTGAGTGACCCGTTAAATGACCCGGTGAGTGGCCCGTTAAATGGCCCGTTCTGGTGAGTGGCCCGTTAAATGGCCCGATGAGTGGCCCGTTAAATGGCCCGGTGAGTGGCCCGTTCTGGGCAGTGGCCCGTTAAATGGCCCGTTAGATGCCCCGTTCAATGGAGTGGCCCGTTAAATGGCCCGGTGAGTGACCCGTTAAATGGCCGGGTGAGTGGCCCGTTAGATGGCCCGGTGAGTGACCCGTTAAATGGACGGGTGAGTGGCCCGTTAGATGGCCCGTTCTGGAGAATGGCCCGTTAAGTAGCCGGGTTAGTGGCCCGTTAGATGGCCCGTTCAAGAGAGTGGCCCATTAAATGGCCGGGTTAGTGGCCCGTTAGATGCCCTGTTTTGGTGAGTGGCCCGTTAAATGGCCCATTAGATGGCCCGTTCTGGGCAGTAGCCCGTTAAATTGCTTGTAGATTGACGCGTTAAATTATTAGTCGTTATTTGATATATTAAACAACGTTCAAATTTGAACATTATTTGATATATTAAACAACGTTCAAATATCAACGTTATTTGGTATATTAAACAACGTTCAAATATCAACGTTATTTGATACATTAAACAACGTTCAAATATCAACGTTATTTGATACATTAAACAACTTTCAAATATCAACGTTATTTGATGCATTAAACAACGTTCATATATCAACGTTATTTGATACATTAAACAACGTTCAAATATCAACGTTATTTGGTATATTAAACAACGTTTACATATCAACGTTATTTGATACATTAAACAACGTTCAAATATCAACGTTATTTGATACATTAAACAACGTTCAAATATCAACGTTATTTGATACATTAAACAACTTTCAAATATCAACGTTATTTGATGCATTAAACAACGTTCATATATCAACGTTATTTGATACATTAAACAACGTTCAAATATCAACGTTATTTGGTATATTAAACAACGTTTACATATCTACGTTATTTCAACATTTGATGCTTGATGGGTGTCTTATTGAATCTTGTATATAATTTTTTGTCGTTTACATTATTTATTATATTATATATATTTTATATTATTCAACCCCCAAATTCCTTCAGTGATCAGACTGAATAATGACCCACCTAATGACCCACCTAATGACCCACCTAATGACCCACCTAATGACCCACCTAATGACCCACCTAATGACCCACCTAATGACCCACCTAATGACCTACCTAATGACCCTAATGACCCATTTTATGACCCTAATGACCCACCTAATGACCCACCTAATGTCCCACCTAATGACCCACCTAATGACCCACCTCCTGACCCACCTAATGACCCACCTAATGACCCACCTAATGACCCACTAATGACCCACCTAATGACCCACCTAATGACCCCCCAGGCATCAGGGGCACGGCGGTCGACATCACTAACCTCGCCCCCAAGACCCTTATGACCCAACTAATGACCCACCTAATGACCCACATGACCCACCTAATGACCCACCTAATGACCCTAATGACCCACCTAATGACCCACCTAATGACCCACATGACCCACCTAATGACTCCCCAGGCATCTGGGGGTATCCTGCCCCCCAAGTGTCCTGGTGAGTCCTGCAGGATGGGGGTCAAGTGTGGGGGGTATCCTGCCCCCCAAGTGTCCTGGTGAGTCCTTAATTGTGATGTATTCCGCCAGTAAGGGTGTTGGTATCCCGCCAGTAGAAGCGCCATTTCGTCTATCCTTTTTTTAGTAGGCGGGGAGGCAGTAGTATAGTTATCAGTTATAAAATTTCTTTATTTTGAGCCATCGCCGCCTGTAAGATTCATTTCTCCTCTGCAATCAAGTTTTAAACTTAAGAAGCACCGACATTCGTCGTTTTCTTTTACCTTAAGATCAGGCTGTGTCCCCAGCGGCCCAGCTCTGTTGATCACTCACACAAGGGGCTTTGTCATCCTCCAACAACTAAACGATTTATTATTTTTAAATTTGAGAAATTTTGGCAAATTTAGTTATTTCATCAATCTCACTGCTCTTTTCTTTGACCTCCTCCTTCCGACCCCCTCCTTTAGAACTCTGAACCCCTATTTCCAAACCCTCCTCTTCCTAAACCCATCCTTCCGACCCTGTCCTTCCCAACCTCCTCCTCCTTCCAACCCCCACGCTATCCCCTTGCCCCGAAACCCGTCCTTATCTGTCTCAATGTCCGTCAGGCTGAAGGACGGGCAGCCGTTGACCGTTGACGGGCAACACATCCAGCAGATCGTCCTGGACGACGGGACGGTCCTTCTGCAGCTGGACGTCGCCACGGACGCCGACGCGGGACGTTACACGTGCGTCGCCCGCAACGCGGACGGCGAAATGACGTCCAGCGCCCCGTTGGCCGTACTCGGTACGTTAACGGGTTCCAATTTCTGCTCCTTGAAATAAATATATTAAATAATATAATAAATGTTAACGCTTCAAATATCAAGTATTAAATAAAATTAGTAAATATTTGTCACTAATAATGATTTTATTTGATAAAATATTGTATTAAAAAATAAAGTTTCCGTAAGCGACGAAAAAAAAATTCTTCGAACTCCGACGTAAAAAATTCACGAATCCAAAAATTTGTGGTCCGCAGATCACGTACGGACGGACGGGCAGCCCGACGGAACGCCGACGTTCACGTCGCCCCTGAAGGACGTCACGGCTGACGAGGGCAAGACCCTTCGTCTGCCCGTGGCCGTCAGAGGCGGACCGGTCCCCAACATGACGTGGTACAAGGACGGCAAGCCCGTCAAGCTGGACGACAGGGTCTTCTTCACCTACGACGGGGACAGGGTGAGTGAGGGCGAGTGGGGGGCGAGTGAGGCGTGAGCTGAGTTGAGTGTTGAGTGAGTAGATGTGCGTGGAGTTGAGTGATGTGTGAGTGGAGAGTGAGTTGGACAAGTGCGAACTGTTAGGAGCACAGTTTGAGAAAGTATTCAGCAAACCCCGATACTCAAGACAGGAGAACAAAATTGGAGTCATTCAAGACTTATCAGGAGGTCGGACGCTGCATGATGAACATTGAGTTTGAAGCTCCGGATCTAGTGAGAAGCATATAAGAATTATCGACTTATTCGGCTCCCGGTCCAGATGGGGTCCCTGCAGTGTAACTTAAAAATGTGTCGGTGCACTGAAGGTCCCTTTGACTTTGCTCTGGAAAACATCATTGACGGAAGGAAACGTTCCTAGTGACCTAAAATTAGGGCTAATTACCCCAATCTACAAAGGAGGTGCGAGAGACAAACCCCAAAATTACAGGCCGGTTACATTAACATCACGCGTAATCAAAGTATTTGAGAACGTTGTTGCCAGAAGGTTGGTGCAGTACATGGATGAAGCTGACCTTTTTAACCGAAGACAACTCGGTTTTAGTCGAAATCGCTCCTGCTTTTCTCAGTTACTGGATAATCACCACCAAATCCTAGCCTTGCTGGAGGAAGGGCCGAGGTGAACGTGGTGTATTAAGATTTCACAGAAGCCTTTGTAAAAAATTGAACATGCATGGGGTGCTCATCTTAAAACTAAGGTTATATACTGTGGTTGAATGAGAGTTAATAGCACGGAGCCACAACTTCTTAACTGTTAGACTACAAGCTGTCGTTATTAGAGGCTCGAGTTCAAACGAGGCAGAGGTGAAGAGTAGAGTATCACAGAAACGGTATTCGGCCCTGACCTCTTCGTAGATATGGAAGTGAGCCACGCCTCGACATTGTCATTGGCCGACGATACCAGGGTGCTGCTGGAAATTGCAGACAAGACAGATTACGACAGGTGGCAAGAAGACCTGTCAGCAATACTTGGCTGAACCCAAGTGAACAAGTTGCAAATCAAAGGAACCAAGTTTGAGGTTCTGAGATACAGAGGTAGCGGAAGAGCTGGAATAGAACACATCCTAAGAATACTAAGTAGTGCAGGTTGAGTGTGTACTGTGGCTAGCATGAGTGTGGGGTAATTCAGTCGCCCCTAACACCCATTCATACCCATTTTAACCCACTCGCTCCCCGCAGTCGTTCTTGGAGATTCGCCCATGTCGGGGGGCGGACGCTGGAGAGTACCGCTGCGTGCTGGAGGGTGAAGGGGGCGCCACGGCGTCCACTTCGTGCATCGTCACCGTCCGCAAGTGCTTCGAGGCACCGTCTTTCGCCCAGGGCTTCAACGCCGCCCAACAGGTGCGTAGCGCCGCCCAACAGGCGCGTAGCGCCGCCCAACAGGTGCGTAGCGCCGNTTGCCTCTAAATCTGTCTCTTATACACATCTAATTAATTATTTATTTAAGCCAATCATTAACCCAATCACTGCATATTATCATTCAATCATCGTTCCTTACAGTCATAAATTATAAAATTCTTCATACAAAATCCATTCATCTGAAAAAATCATCCAATCATTATTTGTCGCAAACGTCAACATTTATTTCAACCATGAGTTCATAACAAATAATGAAAAATTAATGTAGTCTCAGCTTCAGTAATTATTAAAAACATATTTTTAACCAAATTTCAATGTATTGTTCTAGTTTTTGAAGTTAAATAATTGGAATAATAATAGCAGTATTTTTTTTAGTTTGGATTATTCTAATCCATTTAAGGTATTTAACTGATTATTAATAATTAATTAGAATGAGCGTTAAAATTAGTTATAATAAAATAAGCATTTACTTCGATTTAATATTTAACTAGAAAGAGCGCTAAAAGTTGCCACAGCGACTCTTCTGATATATTGAATCTCTTTAAATAGAATAAAATATTTAAATAGTTAACCTCGATTCATTTGTACTAATTAAGAAAATTCAGGACGAGCGCTACAAGCTGCAGTTATAATTATTTAAATTGACTAAAATATATGAATAATTAACCTTAATTTGTTATTTAAATCAATTGAAATAACTCAGGACGACCGCAACGTGCTGTGGCTATTATTATAATTTAAATTGAATAAAATATTTGAATAATTAACCTTAATTTCTTATTTAAATTAACTAATCAAAGTAACTCAGGACGATCGCGACAAGCTGCGACTGTTATTATTATTTAATTAGAATGAAATATTCGAATAATTAAAAAAAAAAAAATTCGTTATTTAAATTAACTAATTAAAACAACTCAGGACGAGCGATAGAAGCTGCAGGTATTATTATTATTATTATTATCGGGGTAATGGGGTTTATTGACCTTAATTCGTTACTTAAATTAACCTTGACTAGTTATATAAATAAATTAACAAAAACTACCCAGGACGAGCGGTACAAGGTGCGTAAGGACGGCACGGCCACGACGCTGCTGCTGCGTGGCTGTGGCTACTAATATTATTATTATTATTATTATTATTATTGGGGTAATGGGGTTTATTAACCCTAATTTATATATAAATTAATTAACAATAACAACTCAGGACGAGCGGTACAAGGTGCGTAAGGACGGGGCTGGGACGACGCTGCTGCTGCGGGGCTGCGGCTACGGGGACTCGGGCATCTACCGCTGCGTCGCCATATTATTATTATTATTATTATTATTATTATTATTATTATTATTATTA